CCCCAAAACCCCAAAACCCCAAAACCCCAAAACCCCGTTTTATTCTAATATTTAAAGCGATAAATTAATATTACATAAATTAAAATTTTATATTCATTAAAAAGTTCTGTTATTACTGTTATTATTTATCATAGCTCTATCCATTGAGTTTCTTTGCTAATGCTGCGGCTGCATGAACCCCTATGGGCCCATCATCATTTATTAATTACCAAACATATCTGAACTACTTCCTCTGCCCGCGTTTCCAACAATCATGCTGGACATTAACTCTCGCTTAATGTAGGGGTTCTACATTCCTGAATCAACAGGTTGAAGTATAGGATTGTGAACCTAGGGTCTATTGTTTTGGAATTGCTACAATGAGGGAGTCTGAGAAGACTGCCTAATAGTTTCAAACTGATTTCTTGAGAGTAACTGGGCTTGCGACTGTGATCTGTTGACGACCTAAGATGATTATATCTGATTAGTTGAGCCAGGAACTCCTCCGAAGAAGTGTGGCTGGTTTTGCTAGTTTTAATTATAATTCTAAGGACTGCCAATCATATATGACTGATTTTGACTGTTCATTTAATTGGCCTGACTCATCCCCAAGCCACCTTGCATATTATTAATAGTTGGCAGCTACTACTAGCTAGCACTAGGCTACATCCATATGTGACCTTTTTGCTTTTCCAGAGGAGTCCCTCCATAGTACAGTTAGTTCATTGCTCCTTTTGCTAGAGGTCTGCTTGCCACTGAATTTATGTGGTTGATTCCAGGTATCAGAGCATTGACCGAATTTTCAAAGTTCTTGTAATGATCTAAGTCTAATCTATTTAGTCTTTTCTCTTGAAATGTCATTTTCCCATAATTTTTGGTAGCTTGCTGCTTCAAGTTCATCTGCTGCATTAGTGTGTTTTTATAAACATCTTTCTGCATTTTATGCTGTTCTTATTCTACAATATCTCTTTATTTAGCTGCCTCAGCTTCTCTTAGTTTTTAATCTAGAAACATCCTATCTTTCTCTTTGTTTTTTTCCAGCATCATATTTTTAAGTCCTAATCTTTCAAGATTACCGTCATATATTTGCTTCTTTACATCCTTCCTATGCATTTAATCCATCGTCTCTCTGTCCCACTTAGCCTTTTCGGCCATCTCTAACTCCCTCATAACACGCTCTTGCTCTCTGGCTTCCTTTTCTTTCAATGGCTGGACAAACTTTTGCTCATACTCCTTTTGCTTGCCTGTAAGCTTCTCGTCGAAGTCCTTGTAGAACTTGTTCCACCTCTGATCCTAGTCATCCTTCTTCTTTTCTCTCTCAGCTTATTACCTTAAGAAGTCTTCATGATCCTTCATCATCTTTTCTTTTTCTTTGTCCTTCATATAGTCCTTGAACTAGATCATCGCCTCTTGCTCCTTTAGCCACTGATTCTTTTTAGCCCGCTCTTAAGCCTCTTTATCAGTTGCCATTGAACGTTCCATTTCGAGCCTTTATTTTTCATTCTCCAAATCCTTTTGCCGCTGCATCTCTCTCATCTGTTTGTTTTTTGCCATGTCATTTATCCATTCATTTGCCATTAGTGATTTCAGATTCTTATTTTCATCCCTTCTGCTTTTCTACATATCCTCCATCTAGTGAAGATTTTAACTCATGTCATTCAAGTCCTTGCGCTTTGACTCATCTTCAAACTGCTTGAGTCTCTGCTTCTCCTTAAGCTGCCAGTCCAGGTAGTCATGGTACTGCTTCTTACGCTCTTTATCCATCAATGCTTGATTCTGCTCTCGCTTTGTCATTAAATCATATTACTGCTTCATTAAAGCGTCCCATTCATCTATTACTCCGTGAGCATCTGGTGGATAATATTGCTAAGAGTTATTAATGACTTTTTAAATATGCGGCTGCTTAGTGATCATGTCCTTTTTCCATCCAAAAGCCTTCAGTTTCAATGTATCGTTTACTTCCATTAAACCTCTCAACTTAACAAAATTATAATTTACTTTAGAATAATCCCCAATAATTAACAAATTCATGCTAAAGGGGTTTTGGGGTTTTGGGGTTTTGGGGTTTTGGGG